GCCGAAAAATTGCACAAATATTTTCCTGATATGGGTGAACGTTGGGCCAAAGAGGTGGCACAGCAAGTGCTCGATATTGAGCAACATTTAGCTAAAGGTTTGCCGGATAATGCGAAACTCACGCTGCCGCAGATGACACGCCAACGCTTTGTCAGCGAACTGAAGTCCGCTTACGGCAATTATGTTGACCTCAACCGTTACCTAACGCTTGTGGTAAATCAAACTATCTACTCTAAAGTCTATGAGACACCTGAAGAGTACTTCTCGAATCTAGTTGAGGTGATAAGGGATACACCCAAGCTACATATAGCCAACTATACAATGTGGCGGGTGTTGGAGCATCTGGACTTTGCCGGCGAGATCAACACGCCGAACAATGATAACTGGTGTGTGCGTAAGATTATCTCCTTCCTACCCGTGCAATTGCAGAACATGTTCAATCGCAACTACAACAACATTTTGATGGTGAATGAATTGCAATCGACGTGGGCCGATATCAAACGCACATTCCATGACGAACTAGCTACGGAGCTCGAGTGGCTTTCGGAAAGCACACGTCAGCATGCCATACAGAAATTAGAGAAAATACGTGTGCGCTTAATTTCGCATGAGGATACCGACTTGGTGGATCAATTGCGTGACCTTGACATACAACCTGGGCAATATTTCAGCAATTTGATCAACGTTTTGGAGTGGCAGACACAGCACGAACTGCAATCATTGTTTTCCAAACCGAAAAGCGCACAACCTGAGGTACGCTTGCCCCGCTACAATCCACAAAAGAATGATATTGAAATCCCCATTGTCTTTCTGCAATCACGTTTCTTCTGGGACGCCGAATATCCGCATGCCTTACGTTACGGCACACTCGGTTACCTGCTGGCACACGAAATGCTCCGCGGCTTCGATGCCGCCGGTCGTCGTTATGATCAGCATGGCTATCAGCGTTCTTGGTGGGATGCGTCCTCAACGGAGACTTACGATGATCGTGCCAAATGTTTTGCCGAAAATCACTACAACAATTTCAAATATCGCGGTCAGAATTTGTTTAGCGCCAAAGCGGAAGAGCTTTCCATTTTGGATAGTGGCGCTGTGGCGATTGCCCAACACGCTTACCAGGGTTGGTGGTCCAATGTCGAGGACAGGGAAGATGTGCTGAGTAAGGAGTCGCTGCCACTGTTGGAATATACGCCACAGCAATTGTTCTTCATTGGATTCGCTCAACTGTGGTGCGTCGATTACCATGACTCGGTAGAGAAATTCGAGTCAACGCCAGAGCCGCTGCGTGTGAACGGTGCCTTAGCAAATCTGGTAGACTTTGCGCGTGAATTCAAATGCGATGTGGGCAATAAAATGCATCCGCAACGAAAGTGTGAACTCTTTTAAGTCACAGTTAAATGTAATGGACGGCTATTTGATATATAATAACATACATGTATATATATATCGAAATATAATTAATAATTTACGATAATTCTCATAAAGAAATTTAAGTATAAATAAACATGTGTTTCTATTAACTAATAACCAATCTCGAATATTTATAAAAAATATAAACAACAAAATATATTTAGGTGTATAACGTTCAATGTCAACGCCTGAGTAGTGATAACCCCGTGACATCCACTAATATAATTCATGGATGCTGTGAATGAACAATATACATACATATATATGCAAAGTTTGTAGTCGAAGATTTTCGAGATGTGTCGGTGTGGCTCGCATAGTTTCAAACAAACAACTTAGCAGGTTGCCACCTGGAAAAGATAAAAAAAAATTATGAAATAAAGTAAGACTTTACAAAGAGGAGGGAATCAATAAAGTATAAATTTTAAAAATATTAGAGTTGCCACCTGTTCAAATTGTTTATGTTATCATAGATATATATGTTAGTACAATATGAATATTGAATGGAGGAGTTTTATAAAAGCTGGATTTTTAAAACACTTTTGACAAGAGTTGCCACCTTTTCTTTTTGTTAATTAACATAAATTAATTATTGTCACTGGGATATAAGCTAGTACATAGTGTGTAATCCAGCTGATATTATTTACCAAATTTTTCAAAAGAGTTGCCATCTCAAAAAAATTTAAATTAAATTAATGAAATATTTTTCATTTTGAATAAAATTAATGAAATATTGATGATAATATGGTCCTGAAAGTAATTGAATTCAACATTAATTGGAGTCGAATATATTTTTGAGCAGAGTTGCCACATATTTATTGCATTCAAATATGAACATACGTGTTTGAGATGTCCGTACAGTTTTCAAAAAACTTGTACACAATTTTTTTTCAGTATGTAAGCTTATGTCAGGTCTGATAATACACAGAAGGCTATGAAGAAGTCCCTGCATTTATCTGATCAGCGTGACGAGTTGAGTTTACTTAGTCATCCGTCTATATATTTCGAAACTAGTCTCTCAGTTCTTGAGATATCGCACTAAAATTTGGCACACGTCCTGTTTTCTCCAATAAGCTGTTCACTGGCCGGTATCGGCGATACCGGATCCTACAGCATAGAGCTGTCCAACAAACTGCTCGATCGGAATAAAATACTTGTATGGACAACTTATATGTGTCGAGATACCTTCACGAAATTTGGCATGAGGTATTTCTCAAGAGAATGGCATAATGTTTACAGACAGTTTTCAGATCGAGTCACTATAACATAAATGCAATTGTTTTACCGACTCAATTCCTCAAAATCAAGTGCTTGTAAGAAAGATTTTGTAATTCCGAAAGGTATTAAAGCTTCGTTGAACCAAAATTAACAAATGTTTCTTATTTTTGAACATTTGGTATTTATTTGATTATGGGAAAAATATAAAAGAGAGGAAAATGGATTCTTATCATTGAATACTGGCTATTAATATTAGAAACGTAAACTCGATTTCAAAGTCAATGTTTGTCTTTTGTTTTTAAACCTATCACTAAATTAATTTGTAAAAATATAAACATACTTATGAACAGACAAGTTATAAATATTTTCGAAGGCAATATTTTTATTTCAGTTTTATGTTCACATATTTACCATCTCATACACCAAATTCTTCCCTCAACTCATGGAGTAATACTGTACCATTCTTTGCACTCAATTCGCATTATATTATATTTTACTGAAAATGACTTGCTATCAAGCTGACGACACATGTCTTACATACGAGTGCAATATTCTGGCATAGATTTCTATAGTGTTTGGTGCTAAGAATTATACATATCAAGTTCTTCTATTAGATTTAGCTTCTTGTTGCGAAGGCACTTTGAAAATTATTCTTCACTCTCGCCCAATATAATATATATAATACACAAGTTCATTATTCAATTTTGAATTCTCGAATCGCAGGTTCAAAAAACAAAAAAAAAAAAAAAAAAAAAAAAAAAAAAAAAAAAAAATCTTCTTTTAAAAATATTGCCACATAGATGTCTTTTTATTGCATAACGACCATAACTGGAAATTGGAAAGAAACAATCAGCCTTTGAAGAGCTTTTGGCTTTCAGCACTTACTCAGCAAAAGATATTGATAGCTGAATAGAGTGCTGAATATCAATGAGGCTGGAATGACTTCCGAACTTCTATGAGCATTCAATCGAACTCTTTGTACATTATACGGCAATGAACTTATAAGAGATTCTGCATTATTATGTATCTTCGGCTTTACTTTTTAAAAAGTAGTGAAACAATCTGTGGAATGTCTGCTAATCAAGTTCTTTCGGCTTCTTAAAATTGTGCGCGTTTAAAGCAAGTAATTTATGGGAGAAAATAGCAAAGTAATGGCGGATAGACGAAAAGGAACTAAACAACCTTAATCAAGTTGAGGGACAGAAGTTAATAGAAGAAACTTATCTTAGAGATTCACTTGAAGTAGGTGAAATATTAGCGAATGTTTTTCTTCTTTACTAGCGCAGACACCGCTTACGCGGTTATAGATGAGTTAACAGCAATGTACAAGTCGTTTCTTTTTTCCGCTACTCGGCGCCAATTCGAGATACTAAGTGAGTTAGGTTCTTTCCCATCTGATTTCTCCAACGGAGTGGAAGCCTTCCTCTTTTTCTGCTTACGCTGGCGGTTTTTGAATTGGAAACCATCAAAGCAACAGTGTTCTCGTCCATCCGGACAACAGGACCCTACCAGCCCTGCCGCTGTCTCTAGATTCACCGAACTATGTCAATGACGCCGTATATCTCATACAGATCATCGTTCCATCGGCTGTGATACTTGGCGGCTCCAAAGCGCAAAGGACCCTAAGTCTTCCGCAAAATCTTTCTTTCGAACACTCCTAAGACCAACTCATCAGATTTTGTCATTGTCTATACTTCTGCATCATACAGCAGGATGGAAATGGTAAGTGAGTTTGGTCTTCGTTCGTCGAGAGAGGACTTTACTTTTCAATTGCCTACTTAGTCCGAAGTACCACCTGTTGTCAAGAGATATTCTGAATTGGATTTTAAGGCGGATATTATTATTAGTGTGGATGCGGGTTCCAGGGCAGACGAGTTTCGTCTTCTTCTACGACTCAAGGTTATGAATGTGAATCCACAGAGTGTGTTTATTTCGCTTGATTGAATTTAAGTATCAGCCAGAATGTAAAATGTTAGTGGAAATTTTCTGTGTAAAATAATGAACGTGTTTAAGTTTATCCGACTTTTTAGCGATCGACCACCTGTTTGCTGACATTGGCGAGCCTTCCAGTGAATTTTTACTAAAAAACAAATACACCTAAAACTCTAGTAGCTTTCAGTAGTTATCTAAGACTTTCAGGAACCCCCATTTGCACAATTTTGGGGAGGCACAACCACAAAAAATGAGTAGGTCCTTAAGCAACTAACAGCGATCCAAACAGTATATTACAATAAGACTGTAAACAGTTATGTTTCCAGGAATATGCAGACACAATTACAATTACACATAACTAAAAACTTGCTAAAAATTTTAAATACTTTTGCATATAAGTAGAATATCTTCTCATTTTTTTTTTAATTTCTACTTCCTTGCAGTTCGAAACAGTCGAAATTCCACAAAGGAGAAGCGCAAATGTTCACCTGAATCCAAGGGGCGTCCCAAGGCGACCACGACAGCAAGAATTCAGCAAAATGAAAGCGATCAGCAACACCCACATCACCAACACCAACAACAACAGCAACAAATCAAATCCAAAGAAATGCAACAGCAAGATAAGAAGAAGGTCAAAACTGCTATTGGTAGCCAAAAGAATGTGTCGAATGGAAAAGTTGCTGCCAAGGAATGCACAGCAACACCAAATGCGCACACCGAGGCAGCACAACAAGTGAACACCACGACTGACAATTACAAAAGCAACAACAAAAAGCTAGAGGAGGCTGCAGGAGCTGAGGACGGCAGTTCAACGCAACGCAGTCACTGGCAATGGCGGCGGAGTCGGGCGCGACTTGGAAAAGAACAGCATCAACAACAACAACTGCAGGCGAGTGAAGCATCACAGCAAGTTTATAAAAGTTACGCAGATGAGCAATTGTCCATCACAGCGTCCAGGGCGACGACAGCGTTGAGGAGGGTCCCACCAACGACAACGACGACGACAAATGTCAGCTGTTGAAGAGCACAGTCCTATAACTTAAGAGAACTAGCGCGGGGTTAAGGAGATAGGGGGGTACTTGCGATGCATTTTGTGTAACCAACTGTAGGTTGGACTGCTCGCGTGGTCGGATGAGGGGCGTTGAAAGTATTGCTGGGCGGTTGCATGTGTGTGGCGTTGTGACGGAAGGAAATGCGCTGGTCAACAATGCGCTCGTTAAACCCAAGTTGGAGTCAAGTAAGAAATCAGCAGATAACACAAAACAAGGTAGAAAAGTCACGAAATCTTCAACAAAAAACGAGCATCAGCCTGAGGGTACGAAAGTAACAATTTAAGTCGAAAACTAAAAGTAGAAATAAATAAAGTAAACAAAAAAAAAAAAAAAAAAAAAAAAAAAAAAAAAAAAAAAAAAAAAAAAAAAAAAAAAAAAAAAAAAAAAATGCAGAGCTGTTGCAGTTGCAATGATGAAGTTGCAAACAGCTACAACAACAACAACTATAAGTTCTACAACTAAAATAAAACAACACTTATAATGCCCAGATTAGCAGTTGTTGGCATTAGGCGAGCCGAGTTGAGCCGAGCCGCGTGTGGCACGCCGTTGTGTTTTGCCGCTGGCAGCTACTGCTGGGGATTAGCAACAATATCAAAATTATCATTGTCCAACTGGGAAATCATGTGGCATTTGGAACGTGCAACATTCAGCACATTGAAGTGTGGTGAGAAAGCGAACAAAACAATGAGTGGCGCTGTGCTGGCAATGCAACAACAATAATGTTTGCAACAAATTACTGCAAATAACAGTGTGTAACGATGGCACCACCAACAACAACAGTAAGCTGAGACAACACAATATGTAGTAAGGCAACAATCAAGTTGTTTACAAAGAAATGAGGCAACAAAATTTGAGGTACAGTGTGGCCAAAACTGCTTTGACAGTGACTTGATGTGGACTTATGTGTATGGTTTTTTTACAGCTTGCCTTCAATGATACTATTTACCAAAATTCGGAAACTCAAGGCACTCAAAAAAATGTTTAACATTAACAAAACATGTCATGTAACTGGCTAGGAACTGGTTTTTTTTCGTACATGTTTGTAACTAGTCTTATTTTGAAGAAATTTTGCTAATTGACGCGGTAGTTAGAAACAAAAATTATAAAATTTTATATTATTTTGAAGTAAAATAAAATATATATTTTGAAATGATAAATCTTAATATTTTCGATTTCATCTATAAAATCTAAATTTTACGATTCCAATCTATAATCTAATTTTTATGATCCCAAAATCAAGTTTTAATATTCAAATATCCTAAAAAAGTCTAACATTGAAAGTTATCTTTTCCGAAAACAATTTTATGCAACTTCAGTGGCACTTTCATCCCACTGTACCTCTTGAAAATTTTCAAAAACATAATAAATTCTCATCAAGCCTACAAGTGCATAGCAGTCATTAGGTGCTTCGTCTAGTTGTAGGCTAGTCTTCTTCGCCAAAGCAGCAAATGGTACAATAGAGGCTAAGACTCGTAATTTCGTGTAGCAACAAACAATTCATCAGTACAAATCAAGGTTTTTGAAGTTTAGCGCAGAGTTACAGAGAGCTGCAAACTGGCTGCTACTTCACCGTTGAATATTGCTTTGGAAGAAGTATATTTTCAATCTTTTGTAAGTAAATTGTAACGATCATGTTCTAAATCATGTTTTCCTCTACGTATCTGATTATTCGGAAAAAGTTACGAAATCTCACGTATACCATTTTGATTGAATTGATGTTTTTGTTGACAGTGTCTCTCTTTAAAGCTGTATCTTCTCTGAACTCTCTCACTTCATCTATCACTTTCTGTCCATATTTGTATCTCTCTCTCTCTCTGTCTTACTTTCCTCCTCTTGGCTACTGATTTCCTTAGTCTATGAAGAAGTCAGCAATGAACAAGTACTCGTTTTGAAATTTCATTTTGAGATCAATGGGCTCTAGGTATGTAGGAATGCTAGGCATGAGCCCTTGAAAAATTCTAGCATAATAATCTATATGTTAATTATTCATACTCATTCATACATACCCATACAATTCTCTTTCTCCCACTGTCTCTTTTACTCTCCTTCTCGACTAAAGCTGGTGCTAATATTCTCTAATGAAAAAGAAGTGCTAATTACTGGTTTTGAAATTTCATTTCGAGTTCAATGGACTTTTCGAAATGCTAAGCATAAACTCGTAAGCTCGTACATTTTAGCATTATAATCTATGTTTGAATTGGATCGGATTTTTATAATCAGAATACATACTGCTATAAAAATATTTTCCTAAAACTATACTTCAATTCTTTCTCCATAGAACTGGCTAGTCTTTTCTCAATGAAATTTATCATAAATTATAACTATTGTCATAGCTACGATTCGGACGAGAATCTCAACTAAATTGTATCAATATTTACTGATATTGTTTTTAGGGTGGTTGTATATAATACAGTTTTGAACCTTTCTTGGAAAAGTGACTGTGTAAGGCTGACTCAGTATAAGAAGCTATCGTATCCATCACAGAGTAAACGTAGTCCACAAGTGTGTGCTATATATGATTCCTTGATAGAACTTTCGTTTCACTTGAGACAAAATAAGTACTTACAAGTATGTATATAGATATATGACATTGTAGTCTGCTGAAAAACCAATGACTATTTTTAAAGGGTTTCCGGCATTAGATTAGCATTTTCTGAATCAATTTTAATTCTGCAATAGATTATTATAATTAAATAAATATTATTTGAAATCATTATAACAAACACCTCTTAGGCTTAATTAAAAATAGTCGTTATACATAAATTTGTATGTCTGTACTTGTCATGTAATTTGTCAATGTTTCTGTAATTTTATTATGTTATCGTTTTCACTTTAATAAATGTATATTTATTTAAACTTGTTAATTGGAAATATAACAAACAGTTAAAAGAAAATAACAATTATATTCTTTAATCCATTATCCCATAAGAAAGAAGTACAAAGAATATGTAAGTTTCAAACCTGATTAAAATTGAATATTCTTCTTTAACAGCAATCTTAAGTTAAGTCGTCATCAAAAGCTTTGATTAGCTCAGCGGCTCTATTGGAGTTTCAAGTTCATAGTGTTCCTTCGCCAAACAAGTAAGACATATTTTGATATAGATCTGCGTCAGAGGGACTTGATTAAGAACTTTCCTTTTCAAAACATATCTTCAAGAATTATATTATATTATATCAGGTGATTTATCGTTCAATCGAACGAGTTATTCGCCGTTGGTAATGCACAAAAGACCATAAATCTTTCGCAGATCCCTTCTCTCGAAAACTTGTCAGATGTTGTCATCCTCTATGCTTCTGTACTATATAGCAGGATGGGAATAAAGAGGGACGTAAAGAGTTTGGTATTTGTTCGTCAAGAGAGTACTTTACTCAATCCGAAGTAGCACATGTTGGAAGAGTTGTTGTGCGTTGGATTTCCAGGCTGACATTGTTGTTGATGTTAATACTTTGAGGGTCATGACTGTCAATCGTGACGGGGGTGCCTAGTCGCGAGTGCAACGACTGTTTGTTTGATAACAGGAGATATTTCGTCTTGCCCTCGTTCAGTTATTCAGTTAGGAGAAAGAAGAACTAACGCGCCGGATGTTGTGGCTAATCATATCAATATTGGCGGCGTACGCCAGAAGCTGCATACTCTTACTGCATCTGCTCGATTAAGCTCCGCAGTTCGAACTATTTTCTTCAGCAGTAGATTGAAGAAGTCGTACAGAGCAATAGCAGGTCTTAGTTTCAAAGCAATAAATTTAATAAAATTAGTTCTGCTTTGCAAGAACGCCTATGTGATCCCAAAATGTTCTCTAAAGATGGAGGTATCTTCACCCTATTTCTTTAACATCTGCTTGCAAAGAGAGTATTATGATTTAGTCTCAAATTTCAAAATTTATACTGTTCTCTGGAGACGATATTATCAACAAAGTTACCTACGATAACTAGGTAAGCACTGAAATGAGAGCCAAGAGCATCTCGATTGACCATTTCTTTCATTGTCGTTTTTCTTGACAAGATTATTTAATGGTCACACCTCTTTAATTAGCGTTTACAGCGCAAATCATCCGTATTAAGACAGACAATGATCTTTATTCAAAAGCTTTTCCTTAGAAAAATGATTTCGTTTGGAGTCGATTTCGGAATAACGTATAGATTTTGCTTCCAGAGTATTCAAGCCCAATTCCGAAACCTTCTACTCTCCGCTCTTCCCACCAACAATATTTCTCATTAAGTTAAGAACTCAGCGTTTCAATAGAAATATCAGCAAATTAGATAAAAATGGATTTGTTCCAAATGCAAGTTGACACGCTAGAATTTCAGCTGTCAGTGTGAATATTTTCAGAGCAAAATGTAATTGCGAACATACCAAGTGCTCTTCTTATATAAAAAGCGCAGAAAATAAACCAAACTATATCACATCTAACAAAAGTGTCGAACGGAAGAGAGAAGGAGTGAGCTAAAAGGATATAAAAATAAAATATGCTACCATATTTTGGGAAGAAAACAGAAAGTAGAAAATGCGAGCGAAGATGAATTGAGGAGGAATTCCCAAAAAAAAAAAAAAAAAAAAAAAAGTGAAATCACTTGCATGGCGCAGCGGTAATATTGGGGGAAAAAGTGAATTATTCGACGATTGCTACTATGAGTTAGCGTCTTGGTTTCCGTTGAACTGCCTGTCAGGCAATTGGCTGCATGTCTTCTCTGCTGTTTTTCTCGTAACTGCTGCCGTTTGGGCTGCTCATTTCCAGTGACATTTAGGTGGAGGTGCAAGAGGATGAAAAACACACACACACACACACTTACTCATACAAAACACAAAAATACTTGAGCGGAAGTATATGTATATGTGTGTAAGTGCACGCTGGGAGTGGTATGAAACTGCTTGGGCGTAGTGTCTACCGATTTAGGACAGCTGAATTAAAATGTTCAAATGTTCGAGGTCTTCGGTAGAAGCAGCAGAGCTCAAATTGTTTGTTCTTTTACTGGCAACAAATGGAAAGTGAAAGCAAGTGAAATGAATTGACATTCGAGAATTGTTGGATTTGAAAGTGTACCGAGTTTGGACAGAAATTACGCAATTTCAATTGTGAGGTCAAATGGGTATGGAAAAGCTTAAGTTCGGTTGTAGGAAAATATTGGTATACCCTTTTTATTTTTTTATTTTGCTTTTCACTGCCTTCTACCACGCTAAATTATTTGTAATGGTTATAGCTGAGAATCATTTTATAATATCATGATGAATTTTTAATTGAGTTATCTTGAAACTATGATCAAATGATGTTACGACTTTTTCAGATAGATCATTCTCTAGCAATTGATGTTTTTACTTACATGAGAAGACTGGACGTTGTATAATGAAAGGGGAAGAAATACATATTGTAGCTTAAAATCATTTGCGAAAAACTGTTGGCTACGGTTACGTCTCAGGTGGTTCATCCTTTGAATCCAAAACGTGAAGCTATCTACACACCGAAGTGTGCATGTGAAATCAAATGTCGCAACCGATGACGAGCTTCAACTTCAGGCATTAAATAGTCGGTTATTATGCTCACGCCCTCACTGGCTTCATTTTTGAAGAAATATGAATCGATGATTCCACTGGCCCATAAACCATACCACAACCGTTGTTTTTTCTGTATAAAATGACAGCTCTTGATCTTCAGGTTGCTCTTCGTCCTAAATGCGGCAATTTTGCTTGTTTACTATAATAACAAAATTTGGCTGGAAAACGTAGGCTGGACATAGTCTGTTCGGTTGAATATTATCAAATAATGAATGCTGGGTCTTAAGATGGGTAAAGTTTAACGATTTGTAAACATTGTTCAGACGTAAGTCTTGATATTGCAAGATCGTCATGTAGCCGTGGGTGAGATTATGACAAATATCGGCGTTAGAAGAACCAGCAAAAAGTCAATATTGCATGAATATTTGACGGTAAAAAAAATTCTTCGCGTTGGTTTGAACACAATTTGTCAATCGCTCAAAAAAGTATTCATCGCGACAAAGCAAGCCTTCACATATTAATTGAAGCAACTGCATTATTGAGCACTGAAACATCAATTTTTAGAGTCGCCCAACGTACAGTATTGACTTGGCAGCGAGTGACTTAATATTAAT